ATTCCTCCAACAAGCTAAGTCAAGAGGCTCCAAAAGGGGACACCAAGCAACATTCATGCCCCCCAAACAAGACAAAATAGAACTAATGACTTCTATTAATCCGTGACCTTTGGGAGGGCTGAACCGCAATGGCTTATGGTTTTTTAAAGTGGGTTTCATGGTGAAAAACCTAAAGAGCCCAGATCTACTGTCAGTCAGTTATTTGAAAGGCTTGGCTTCACTGCTTCAGTCTCTTTAAAAGGTAGCTGAACCAACTTAATTGAATCTTTAACTCAGCCTTTTCAAATGGGCCCTTAATCCAATCTTTCTTTTATTGTGTAACTTTCAATAATGAAAGCAACCCCAAGTATGAATTGGTCACGGCAAGCTAAGTAGCTAACTAATGGTATCTAAATTAAAATCTAATATGCCATCAATACATGGAAGCTTTTGAAGTAATGGTGATGAAATGAGTCGATTAGGGGTGGGACTCATCATAGCTTGTTAATGGGTCCCCATCATTTCCATCAAATGTCTCATTTAGGGGTGACATGCTATAAATTTTACATATCCATGATTTCATGATCTCGGTTTATAATTATACTAGTAAATATGTACATGCATTCTTTGTACGTGGCAATTATAAATGATGATAATGATAATAATATATTCAAAATTTTCTATAAATTTTATGTATTTTTTATTTTTCATTTTTATATTTTATATTTTTATTATTAATCAAATGTAGATTGCAAAATTCAAATATAATTGCATAAACACCTCATCTAAATATGTGATAATCGGATCAAGTTGTAAAGTTTCAAGTATCATTGAAAAGCCTACCTGCTTTGCTAGACACTTCTTTTCATAGTGTTTTTTTTTTTTTCTTTTTGGTGTATCTTTGTTCATTTATCAAAAAATTGTAAGATTTAAATAGTGGGAATAGAATGATGTGAAAAATAGTAGTTCAATTTACAATTTAAACCTTAAAATTAATCGAATTATAGGTGTGTTCAAATTTTCTACAATTTTTTTTTTTATTTTTCTGTGTTAAAATAATTCTAATATATCACACTTACTTTTTATTTAATATGATAAATATATGATATTATACATGTGCTTGAATGTTTATTTTGCAAAATTTATGTATTTTTATATTTTTATATTTTATTAATTTTTATTCTTTATTTATGACATTAAAGGTTAAAATATTTATTATTAATTTTTATATTTCATTTTTTGTTAGTTATAAATTATGTATTTCATTTTCATTATCGATAAAAATAATTCTTGTTTATTATACTTATTTCTGAATTTAATTAATAAAAACATCATAAATGTGTCTACTTTTTTTGTAATTTTCTATAATTATTTATATTTTAAAAAAATTATAGTAATAATATAAAGGATTTGCACATAGAAATTCTAGATGATGATAATTATAGTAATAATATATCCAAAATTTTCTATAAATTGTATGTATTTTTTTATTATTAATCAGATGCAAATTACAAAATTCAAATTTGATTCATAAACACCTCATCCAAATATGTGATAATCGAATCAAATTGTGAAGTTTCAAATATCATTAACAAGCCTATCTACTCGTCTAAACTCTTTTTTTGTAGTGTTTTATCTTTTGGTGTATCTTTTTTCTTTTGTTCATTTATCACATAAGTGTAAGATTTAAATAGAGGGAATTGAATGAGGTGAAAAGTATTTCAATTTACAATTTAAACCTTACAATTAAATAGGAACTAAACTAAAAAATGAGTATTTCAATTACTTTTTTAAAAATTGGACCAGATCGGATGATCAAACCGTTTGGACTGGGAACTAGTCAAGCCACCAATTCCATTTTGGCCCTAAACTGTTATTTCACAAAAAAATGTTGAAGTGATCAAAGAACTGTTAACCCGAATGGTTTAACCGTTAAAATGTTTGATCCAATTAACGTTCTTGGGTTGCTTTCAAACTATTTCCAAAATTTGTATTTATTTTAAAATAAAAATTAGAAAATAAAAAAAAATGAAAAATCTCATAAACTTGTTCGATTATTCTTGATAGCCAAAACTAGTTAAGGTTTTTAGTTTTTTCATTTTGATTTTGAGTTTTCTCATTTATGTGAATCTTTTTAAGTTGTAACATAAAAAAAAAATCAACTTCAATAAAAAATCAAAAAATTCGATGCATGAGATGGAAGATTAAACACCGATCTTATATTAAAATCTAAGGTACACCAATGAAGCAAACGATCTAGTATCTGAGAAAGATCTTGAAAGATGAGAAAGATGTAATAAAAGGGCAAATGGTATTGTAACGGTGGTGATAATGAACATGGAGATAGCTGCCAGTGGCAATTCTTTTTCTTTTTTTTTTTCTTTTTTTCTTTCTTTCTTTCTTTCTTTCTTCTTCTTCTTCTTCTTCTTCTTCTTCTTCTTCTTCTTCTTCTTCTTCGGGCAAAACAATTATGCAACAATGATTGGTGAACATGGTGGCAAACACCTCCAGCGGTGTTCCCTCTTCTTCTTCTTATTCTTCTTCTCTTTCTTTTTTATCACTTCTCTGTTTTAACCAGTCACCTCTTTCTCAAACTCTCACACTCCCCTCTCATAATAATGTATATATACGATAGACTTTTAACCCAATCTTAATCTAACAGTCAAAATAAAAAAAGTTGCATTATATTTTACATCTTATTGGTTTGACTTGCTCAAACTGGATAGTTGAACCATTGACCTGGAAACTAGAAGCCAAAGCGGTTCCATTTCTGAATCGGTTGTTAAAACCTTGATTTTATTCAAAATAAAGTTCCACAATATTATTCATATTTTTAATAGTAGTGTAAAATAAAATTATAGATGTGTTCAATTTTTTTATATATTTTTGTGTGTAAAAATAATTATGATATATCACACTTACTTTTTGTTTAATATGATAAATACATGATATTATACATGTGCCTAAAAGCTTTTTTTTTGCAAAATTTATGTATTTTTTTTCGTTTTATATTTTATTAAATTTTATTATATATTTATGACATTAAAGGTTAACACATTTAACGCAAAAGTTGAACTATTTATTATTAATTTTTATATTTCATTTTTGGTTAGTTCTAAATTATGCATTTCATTTTCATTATCAATAAAAATAATTATTGTTTATTACACTTATTTTTAATTTGGTTAATAAAAATATCATAAATGTAACTATTTTTTTTACATTTCTTTTGTAAATTTCTATATTTATTTATACTTAAAAATTTTTTTACCTAACTATGACTTCATAGGTTGATCAATTTGATTTGGATGGTTGAATTGCTTAACCACTACTAAATAATGATTTTGTTTTTTGGTGAGTTTTAAAATACATGGATTTATATTATTAAAAATATTGACATGGATCTAATTAGTAACATTTATTAGTGAAAATAACTTAAAAATATAGGATTTAATAAGAGAAAATAGAATTTAATACCTTAAGTATATGACTCAATGAAAGAGGATTAAATGATGTGGAAAGTAATAATTGAAGTTACACTTTCAACCTTCACAATAATTAGAGATGGATTAAACACACGAGAGCAAATCAACCCCCCACAAAATTGCCCCTCACAACGTCCCACAACACATTCCCATCATGTATTGTGAACATCTCCCAATGATGATGTCATCATTGGGGGAGCTGATTTGAACTCTAAATACACAAATATGACCATTATAGTAGCCATTAAAACTATAATAAAATGACATTTATAACCTTTTTCAAACAAAAAAATAAATGATAATTTTAATGCAAAAAAAATTTTAGATTGTATTTACACTTTTATATATAATATAGCTTGACAACTATTTAAGTGAAACTGATTTATAATATAAATGCAGAGCATTCTATTGTACGTTATGCTTAAGGTTGTTTCCCCACAATATCTGTGGCTTGCAAAACCTTCAGATTGATGCAATGGTGGGACTCTTTACTGCATCTCCTTCCAAACACTGTTTAAAGCAACCAAATCTGTGGCAGATGATTTGACCATCTCATTGGATTTTGTGATGATCCATGGGCAAAAGGTTAAAAAAACTGTACTGTTCAGATCCTCTAATGAGCTCAGCTCAGTTCTCGTGAGAGTCTTCTGTAAAATTATAAGTAATGAATTCCTTTCTTCTTCATAACAAAAGATAGGAAAAAAAAAAGATAAATAAAAAGGGCAATTGGAGCATCTAAAAACCAGTAAATTGTAAAGTAGGGCAACAATTTCAACATTGAAATGGGACCCATTAGTGGGGGTGGGGCTGCTTAGTATGAGGCTCAATTTGATCAAGTGATGTTATCCGTCTGATCAACTTAATTGATGCATGATCAATCAATCAACGCCTATAAAATCTTGACCGGGAGACATTGTCATCTTGTCAATGAATCCGTATTGATGAGATAATCCTCATCAACATCAGTAAATATTTCTAATCACTGATCGGTCCCACCTAGAGTATTCGTTCTAATCTACTCAAAATTTGAATGATATCTTCTATATATCCCATGGTCCCTTTATAAATAATTTTGATAAGATACAATACAACTGTCCAGAGTAATTAAATCAAGTTGGTTCCCAGGTGGGTCCCTCATTATAAAGTGGACAGAAGATCCCGCGTTTCCCAATAACGCAAGAATCAAGAAAACAGAATTGAACAAAAGAGGAGGAATGATTTTGATTTAAGGGGTTGCATTACATTCCTACCTTGTCTTAGTTGACACGTTCGTAGTTCAGCTCAGAAGCTTATGGTCTGGTAAGTATCTTTAATATGCCAGCTGGCAAGTTGGTAGATTTGAGCTCTCATAATTTTCAAGGTGGTAAGTTGCAGTGATGAATAGGACCAACCCCACCCAATTAACTACTTGCTTGGCTGAACAGAGAGACCGTACAGATAAAAGGTGTAGATCTGGACGGCCCGTCCAGAACATTTTTTACTTGGGAATATTCTCTTACCTAACCGTATTTATGAATGGATAGTTGGAGACTCGGGAGTCTCAGGGAGACGGAGAGGGAGAGAGAGAGAGAGGAGAGAGAATCCAAAATGAGAAAAATGGAAATCCAATAATGCCAACTTATTGAACTCAACGGCCTCCTTCGAGCGACAGAAAGTCCAATTCTAGTTCTAGAGAGAGAGAGAGAGAGAGGGAAAGAGGAGAGATGATGTCTGAAAAAGATCGATTTACATCGATTTTAGTTACTATTTTTTTTCTCTTCTGATTGAAATGAAAGCTGTTTGTGCTTGGCCAGCAGTCTTCTTATTCTAAAGCATAAATAAGCAGGTTGGGGAAGAGAGAGGAATTCTTTTCTTCATTTGGTAAAATGTGTTGCTTAATCTATCCGTGCCCTAGATCCACGTCTTCAGCAAGCTTCATCATCATCAACGAAACCTAGCCCTAGATCAGTGTCTAGGGTTTCATTTCTTCTCATTTGTTGCGTAATGCTTCAAGGTAGTTTGTATTTGATGCCTCTTGAGTTCTGTTTAAAGTTTCAAGGTTTTTTGGTGCGGGAATGTCTGAGGCAAGACATTGAATTTCTGACGAAGTTACTGTTATTGGTATGATTTTTTTCTCTAATTGATCGGTTCTCAATGAGAAGGATCTTTTGGAAGGAGTTGAATCTTGTATCTTAGGTGGATTCTTTTATGTACTCTCTTAGGTTGGATGTTGACAGATGTTGAAGAAGAGGAGTTCACAGAAAGCCAATCTCGCGGCTGTGGTGATCTGCTTTAGTGAAGAGAGCTTGCTTTGGAGTTGCTTTGGCTCACAATGAGCTGCATTTGTTGTAAGGCGTCTGCCATTGAAGATAGTAGGGAGAGCCCGAGAGAGAGGTTATCGAATAAATCGTCGTCGGATTTGCGGGTGCCTCGGGCGGTTTCTTCTAGGAGAGAGGAAGCATTTCGAGGGAAGGATAGACCGGATGGTAGAGAGGGGAAGGCTACGTTGGTTGAAAAGCAAGGGAATGGTTCGATTCGGTTGCATGGGGGTAATTTTGAGAGGAAGAGGGAGAAGGCTGAATATGCATTTGTTCATCATCCGGTTATGGGCAGCATTCCGAAGGCCACGGAAGGGGAGCAGATTGCAGCAGGTTGGCCTCCTTGGCTTGCCGCGGTGGCTGGAGAAGCTATCAGGGGCTGGGTACCACGGCGTGCAGATTCATTCGAGAAACTAGATAAAGTATGATTTTTAGTTGCATCCTTTTGGTCATACTGGATTCTTTCTATTGCATGATTAATTTTTCTCACCTTCTTGAGTTTTTGTAATAACTAGAGTGTTCAGCATTTTATTGTTGAAGAACATAGTTATGGTCAAGAAAAAACCTTGCCTTTTTGTCTTTCGTTGCTATTCTGATCAAACTCTTATACTGCAGTACTTCCTTTGCTTTATGTTGATCTTCAAAGTGGGTAAACGTAGACTTAAAACTCCCCTAAGCCATTGGGAATGTAAGAATATTGGAAGTGGGGGAAGGGTGAAGGGATTGTAGACAATATGCATACCATGCATCGATCATAGATGACATTGGCGGTTTAATAAAAAAGAGCCTTGTTTTGACATTTGTTTTCACATTCTACAGGTCCATATCCTAGATAAATTTGTTTAACTGGGCCTCTACTTTTTTATTCATTAGTCAAAAAATGGGAAAATGTTATCATTTGAAATGTTTTTTTTTTTTTGCCTCAGACAATAAATTTATATTAGATAGGATGTTAGTTGATAAAAGTTCTTCTTAATGTTCCAGAAAATAGGTCAGTGCCACATGGTTATTTGTGCTTTTCCATTCTTCATTTACTCTTAAGTGGTTTGGAGTAATAGCTGTCTAATTTCTCGCTCAGAAGTAGAAAACATGAATCTATCCCAATATGGCACTGAATAGAATGGAATTGTGTAACAGAATTCATGTACCAACCCAATATAGTTGGGATGAGGCATAGAGGATGATGATGATGATGATGCATCTAGTTCTTGCTATCTGCTACTTCTGTGGCAATAGATATGGTTGACAAAGCATTTTCATTTATTCTTTTTCTTTTTAATCAGTGTTTTTTTAACTTATTCTGCCTTGGCATTTTTATCCCGAATTTAGATGGACCACTTTGGGTAGGTTTTCATTCTTGTCATAGTGGCTTCTTATTATTTATTTATTTACGTTGCAGATTGGCCAAGGAACTTACAGTAATGTTTACAGAGCCCGGGATCTTGATCAAGGGAAAATTGTTGCATTAAAGAAAGTACGGTTTGATAACCTGGAACCTGAAAGTGTTCGCTTTATGGCTAGGGAAATCCACATTTTGCGTAGGCTTGATCACCCAAACATAATAAAATTGGAAGGCTTGGTAACTTCACGGATGTCTTGCAGCTTATACCTTGTCTTTGAGTATATGGAGCATGATCTTGCTGGCCTTGCTTCATTTCCTGGTCTCAAGTTCACAGAACCACAGGTATTTAGTTGTTAGAAGTTTCATGTTTATCAGTGGTGCTGCAGCTAAGCATTCCTCCCCCCCTCTCCCTCCCCTTCCTCTATGAAAATAGCTTTTTAAAGTTTATTGGATCAATACAAGATCAATTAGTACATTAATTATCTCTATCTCAATAGCTTTTTAAGGTTGTTATTAGTTTGTCTTTTTTGTCCTCTTTATCTTCAACTACCCTTACACTCCTACAGACTAAAGTCCTAAACCTATACATCATGGAGCACAATTTCTGAGGTTTTTATTTCTCCACGGCAGGTTAAGTGTTACATGCAACAACTCCTACTTGGACTTGATCATTGTCATAGTCGTAGCATTTTGCATCGGGACATAAAGGGTTCAAATCTTCTGATTGACAATAATGGCACCCTGAAGATTGCAGACTTTGGCTTGGCAAGTTTTTTTGATCCTCATCAAAATCATCCATTGACCAGCCGAGTTGTCACTCTTTGGTATCGACCACCAGAGCTTTTGCTTGGAGCTACTCATTATGGAATTGCAGTGGACTTGTGGAGTACTGGATGCATACTTGCAGAATTATATGCAGGCAAGCCTATCATGCCCGGAAGAACAGAGGTACCTTCTTTCCAAATACCTAGAATTTGATGTGTCTTAATACATGTTATTCTATATGGAACTTCTCCCTCTAGATTTCTGGTGTACTGGACACTTAACGCAAAATTGTGTCAAGACAACTTTTGGTTGGGCACATGTGGGCTCGTGTAACGTGTATCTTTGTTTATTCTAAAATAAAATGTTGATAAGGGTGTGGCATTTGCAGTTTAATCACAACCTTCTAAATTTATTTTCTTAAAATTGATCAAATATGGTGTGCAAAATATACTCCTATTTGAGCTGTTTATTCACTTAGGTTTCTTGGTTTGCCAGTAGCAGTGCGGATTCTCTTGCTAGGGCATGAGTACACAGGTGATTTAGTTTGGGGAATGCCAGATCCTGGTTGGAAGATAATGAATGCAATATCTGTTCATTGTATTTGAATTTAGCTTACTCGATCAGCTTCTGCTGTTGTATTAGCCTTCATTCTAGCTTATGGATGGAATATTTTTTCTCTCTTCATTTAATGAAAGTTCTTGATTGCTGATAGAAAATAACAGAAATAAGATAAAATTGGAGGTATAGGAATTATGCCAACAGCTGAGTCTAGCATACATAAATCACGAAGCAAAAACAGAATAAGAGGCTTAAACCCAACCCTGGCATCTCTCGCACCTACTCATTCCTACCTACCCTAGTTGGCCAGACCATTGATTGGTCTAGGATTTCTTCTGAATGAACAGTTAAGGCCGGATGTAAATGTATTTGATTTCCTTTGTCAAGTATCATAGTATTCATTCATTCATTGGTATTCTGTTTCAGCAAGTAACCAGGTGACTGCTGCTTGACAGACTCTTTCAACTCTGAGACCAGACTAACATGCTAATTTTACCAATAAGTAGTGCAAGGAGTTCAGCCTTCAATTAGGTCCCTACTCCAGCTGGACCTGAGTCTCTTTCTTGCTCTCTCTCTCTCTCTCTCTCACACACACACACACACACACCCCTCTCCTTTTCTTTTCATTTTATATTTTACATTGTGATCGGCCCTTTGTTTGAAAGCATTGTACTTATGATTGCAGATATATAATCCCAGTTAGCTATAATTGAAAGTGCTATATTATCTATAAAAAAAATTGAAAGAGATATAATTTTTAGCAACATATGGGCAAACATAGAAGTTGAAAAAATACTTCCATTGAGTGAGTTAACTAATGCTATGGAAAATATAGAATCACATTTAAATTCATGAAAAAAAAAGAATTGCATTTAACTCTTATGTGGTGTCTTTATTGTGAAGAAATACTACTTGTGGTAACTTCCATCCTTTTACTAACTTATAGAGTGACTTGGTTTTGGAGCCTTCTAATAATTATACGGCATTTTGAATCATGGCTTGGGTACTTGCAGTCATTGAAAGACAAATCTGTGCCATTATTGTTCAGAAACATTTTTTTTCTTTTCACTCTCGACAGGTCCTATTTAGATATTATCTCACAAATTGAATACATTGCACCTCTTCCCCTTGTTTTTTTTTTATCATCACTCCTTTGCTTGTATTTGTGTACTGGTTATCTTTTTTCCACTTCTATTAGCTGTTGACTTAACAAAACAAGAAAATAGTGTTGTAATGATTTTTTTCCTATTTCTTCAATTTTAGATTTCATGATACTGGTGTGTTATAACTTTGTTATTTAATTTTTGTTTGAAAAAATTGTGTGATTTAAAGTTTGTTGTTTTCCATTATAGGTCGAGCAGTTGCACAAAATTTTCAAGCTTTGTGGTTCACCATCTGAGGAATATTGGAGGAAGTCAAAATTGCCACATGCAACCATTTTCAAACCACAACAACCTTATAGACGATGTGTCGCAGAAGTATTTAAAGACTTCCCTCCTGCAGCTTTAGAGCTTATGGAAATGTTACTTTCTATAGATCCTGCAGATCGTGGAACTGCAGCTTCTGCTCTTAAGAGTGAGGTATGAAGTTCTATAAAATCTGGACCTATGAAATGGAAGTCTGTAAATGTGAATAATAAGTTATGTTTCTTCATTTTTTTTTCTGTTTTTGATTGGAATGCTTTGTTTTATCCACCATGTTTATGCATAACATTCTTTTTTAACTTATGCAACTATCAGATCATTTTTTTATCAATACCAAATTACCAACTAGTATTATCATTCAATTTATTGAGATGATCATGACAACAGTTAGAAGTCCCGTGCCATTTGTTTACATTTTACTGTTGTTCTTTTGAGTATCTGACTTTTCATATTTTTTTTTTCTTTCTTTCCTCTTTGCTTATTTTATTTTCTTGTATGATGATATGGAGGACATGAAATTGTAACATATTAATTTATTGATCCGTTCTGCATGTCTGTGACTTTGTGGGTTTTCCATTCACTTCATATTTTTCCCTTGATCTATTCTTTTCTTTGTTTAGAACAAGACTGTAACTGGGGTAACTGTTAACCTTCAAGGAGTAGGGTAGTTTTTGTTTGTTAATATTAAAGGTTTTTGTTTTTTTTTTTTTTTGGGAGGGTGGGGGGACGTAATTGTACTCTTAATAAAAGGAAGGAGAGGGGATTTAATTTTTTGGGAATGGATAGTGTGGTGAGTAATTCTTACACCCTTTAGTGGTTATAAGCATCATTTTGAGTGGTTCTGGTTTTTTTTATGATAAACGAAAATTTATTAAAACTAATAAAGGAGAGTACAAATCAAGGTGATAAGGAACCACCATAGGAAGAAGGTAGCAAAAGCAAACTCCCAACCTTCTTTCTCTCTCTCTCTCTGTAAAAGAAAAATTTTATTAAAGAAAAAAACTGACCTGATTACATCCACTTAAAACTTAAAAGGTGCCAAGGTAACATTTTCCATCCAATCTGGCAACAAGATTCAAACAAAACAAAGCCAAAACACTACATTCACTTCTAGGGATACAAACCACACTCCTAATGCGCCCAGGCTCAAACAGAGCTAATCAAACTAACAAGAGACCCCTCCTTCAAAACACCAAACGCCAAACCCCAACAAACTCCATCAAAAGTCCAAATTTAGTCCTCCTGATAAAAAAATTCTTCTTGTCCACCACCTTCTTTTTTCCATGACTCTCCCCCCTTCTTTTGATAAATATCTATGACTCTCCCCCTTCCTCTATTATATTCTTCTTCAGATTCTCTTCCTTCTTTGAAATTCTTCAAAGTCTCTCCTAATGAAAGCTTCTCTGCCCAAGAACAACAAACCCAAAGCCTTGCCAACCTCCACTTCCCTATCAACGATTTCCTTAAATCCAAACTTCCTTTCTTCACTTCCACCCTTCCTTTCCTTCTCTTCTGGCAAAACTTGATTGCCAAGCATGAACATCAAGAGTTGGCACTCTAAATTTAACCCCCTTTTCTTGAACAACCTCTTGCATTTGTTTGTAGGACCTACCTCAACCAAATCCTCCTTCAACCACGAAAAAACCTTTGTAAGATGCACAATATGGATTCTGTTTGAACCTCTGTCTTTCTTTAAGGGTGCTGCAATATTAGTAGAATCAACCTTGTCAATCTCCTTCCTCCTTTGGCCCAAGTCAACACCCAACTACCACTTCGGTCATCTAATGGTGGTTACAGGTTTCAAAGCACGTAACACTTTCCTTCTTAGAATCAACATAATCAAAAACTCGGTTGCAATTAATTATAGGCTTTACATCAACACCCCCTTCTGTAACACCTCCCAACTTCTAACGTCCTCTCAGAAACACACCTCCAACAACACCCAATACAAAAGCAAAACAACATGGGTTCTCTACTATCAAGGCCATTCTATTTCTTTTGAAAGGGAAAAAAACCCTTGCCACCTCACTTTCTGAAAAAACCCACCCATCATGTGATTCTGGCCTCTCTCTCTCTAGCTATATAGCCATTTATAGCCATTGTAGCTGTTTACCATTAACAGCCATAAGTTCTTTATTAAATCTATTCATTCAATATTTCCAATTTTCTTTATTGATTTATCAAAGTCCAAAAACTATCTATTTCAGTTGTTTTCATCCTTTTGTATGAAACCACCTCTGATTTTTGGTTCTTTTGGTGCAAGATGTACTCTAAACCCCTACCAAAGTTGATTGCTTTCTACGTCCATTCAAGCCCTACATAAAATTTGACTGAAGCATTCCAATCTTAGACTTGTTTTCTTTATTTTGAAGATTTTCATCATTTTTAGACAAATATGCAATTCTTGCAGTTAAGCTCTGTCACCTTTCCTAACTCAATTGATCTCCTTTTTAGTCCTAACATTCTTAAATCCTTTATAGCCTATCCTTATCGTCCATACTCATGCTTCAATCATATTGGACCAGGAGGGTTTGTTTGAACTTTGAAGCACTTTAAAACTCCATTTTGATTGGGAGTTCTCAAGTCAGCTCTCATGATGCTACTGGAGCAGCTGTTGTGTATTTTTTTTTTTTTGATCCTAGAGGCAACTCATAGGTGTATAGTTGATCCATTAGAGATGCTGAATTATAAAAGGCAGAGGTTATGACATTACTTGGGGGATTTAGGGTATCCACGTAGCAGTGGTTCTACTTCATTGCAATAGAAGATCATGCATCAAGCAGAATCAAATAGAGCACGGTAGATGGCATCTGACCTTAGAGACTTGCTCATTTTCTTATCAGTTGCAATATTTTATGGACTTGCTAAACTAGAGATTCAGTGGGCTTTTTTATATGCTGACAGCCCACTCCTTACTCCCTACTTAAAAGTTGAGGATTTCATAGTTTCAAGGTGCCAAGGTGAGGCTAGGCGACAGGGGGGCACCTTGTTGCTTGCCTAGTCACCTAGGTGATGGATTTTTTTTTTTTTAAGTAAAAATCACATATCCTAGGGTAGTTCCCTAGGTTCCATAACCAACTTTCTTTAATACCTATCCATAGTTTTCTTATAACTTCATGTTTAAGTCTAGAAAATCAACATATTTATGAAAAGAAAAAGAAGAAAGGAAAGAAAATTCAAAAAATATAGGGGATGAACCCCTATTTTTGTTATAGGAAAAGAATAAAAGAAAAGGTGGGAGAAGAAGAAGAAGAAGATGTGGAAGAAGAAATATGTTGATACTTATCAAACAAAAGAAGAAAAATGTTGATTAGACAAAATTTTAAGTTCTTCCCTTACTTGCTGGTTCAGATTTTGAAGTCATTGAGGGTTCAATACAGCAGTTAGCAATGTTTGTGTTGATTAAACCCTAACAAATAAGAAAATGATAAAAAGAAATTAGTTTATAAACACAAAAAATGAATATTTTTCTTTAATAATGTCTATTTTATAATTATTATATAAAAAAATAACAATATAAAAGTATTTTATTACACAGTATGAAAAACTGCTTGGTGACTGGGCAAGGCGAGCCTCCAAGGGTGCCTTGTTGTCTAGGCATCATCTTGACAGCTATGGAGGATTGCTGTCTTCCGTAGGCAAGGCTTCTACTGGCTGCAATGTAAATTGATGTTGGGTTGAGAAATGGGTTCAGTCATGATCATGTAAAAAATTTAGTTAGCACTAACATTTGATGGTCTTCTACTTTATGTTCTCATTCTTAGCTTTTAATGTCTAAAAAAGTGTTTTTTCCCACTAACAATCATAAAAAATGTAAATTGATGTGACTAGTGGTTAATTTTATTTTCTCATTCTTAGCCTTTTTGGTAATAAATAAAGAAGAAAAATTTTATTAATGCTAAAAAGAATGTACAAGAAGAAATACAGAGAAGAGGTGATGAGGAATCACACAAGAAAGGAAAAAAAAACAAAAAAAACACTATTACATCATTACTCCCCCCTTCTTCCAATGTGAAAAACAGACCAAAACCCAGTACCGAAGGATTCCTTGCTGTCATCTAAAAAGTCTGGAAGAATTAGGTGGCGTTTGATAAATCTGAAAATCTGAAAAGTTGAAAAGATATTATTCGGGTCTGAAATCTGAAAAGAAGTAGAAATGATTTTCTACTTTTTATAGGTTCTGAAAAGATAAGATCATTTGAGTTGAAGCAATTATCCAACATCTGAAATTGTGAAGTTTACTATTTCACCCTTAGAAATAGACTGTTTGAGAATATTATAAATAATAAAAAGAATATTAAATATAAATAGTATTCTATTAATAAACAAATATTATATTTTTGAAATAAATGATTATTTATTATTTAATTAAAGATAATATTTATTTATTATTATTAACTAATAATAAGTAAAAATATTTTAATTTTTACTAGTAAATATATTACAAAATATTCTTATTACTATAAATAATATTATTAAATAAATATTATTACTATTATTATTATTTATTAATAGAGAAATAATATTTATTAATAATAAATATTTATAACAATATTGATTTATTATTATTAGTAAATAATATTAAATAAATTATTATATTCATTATTAATAAACATGTTATTATTTATTAATATTATTTAAATAATAATTATAATAATTATATTTTAATAATTATTAATATTTATTAAGTAATAATAAATTATTGATAAATATATTATTATTTAATAGTATTATTTAAATAAATAATATTAATTATTGTTGTTGTAGTAATAGTTATTATTAAATAGATGACAATAATGGGGGCATTAATGTCATTTTATCACGTCTGAAATGTGGCTGATTTGTAAGACATGAAATCAGGTCTTACCAATTCAGATCTGAATTTGTGTTTCAGATCCTCTAATCAGATCTAAACCCAAACGCCAGTGGCATCTGAAAAGCAAAGTTTTCAGACATTAGATGTCTGAAAAGTATTATATCAAACGCCACCTTAGAAGGAATGGGATCTGGTCCTCACATGGGGGCGCCTCACATGCACATCCACTGTGCATTGGGAACATCTCCCATGAATAATAACTTATAAATACGGGAGATATTCCCAATGCATGGTACGATGTGCATGTGAGGCGCGAGTGAGGCGCCCTGTGTGAGGAGCAGATCCGGTCTCACCTTAGAACCCATTCTATGATCCTTTTACCAATAGCTGAGGTCAGATGATCATAACCTCTGAATGTATCTTCAAATATTCTTTTGTTTCTTTTTTTTGATAGGTAAAAACAAAAATTTCATTAAAATAAAAGACAAATTACAAGATGGTGGTGATAAGACATCATCCAATACAACCAATAATAAAAGGATCCAGACTTGGAAAAAAGTTTCGCATATTACATATCTTAATTCCCAACACTTACCCTGAAAATTCCCCCACCTTCTCTTATCAAGATGTCTGAAATCTGGATGAACCATAACCCAAACAGCAACCGGCCTGCCTACTATCCTGTCCATGTTGTAGTATTTGGCACCAAAACTCTTCTGTTCCTCTCCTTCCAGAAGATCATGTCAACGACTTGCAGTTTAGATTCTTGTAACAGCACTGCATCACGACTTTTGAATTCTCAAAAGGTTTTACGACCTTCTTTCTCTCAGCCCTCTCACATTCCACGTGATCAGCTTCATTTTCTAACACAGCCTCCATCCCTTCACACTCTGTCGTCTGTTATTCTTCATCAACCATGCCCCCCTCCTTTCCTTCCTCTTCCTCCTCTTATCCCGTTTCTTCATTAACAGATTTTTTGAGATGTTCTCTTCTCTTCCTCTCAAATTGTTTTATGGCTTTTCTAACTACCCCTTCTCCTCCAAGAAAAAAGCAAACCCAACGCTCTACCCACCTCAACCTGTCTCTCTGTTTCTTTCCTTCCACAGCTCCCAACAGATTGCAAATGGCATACAACTCCAGATTATCTTTGCTTTTCTGCTTCCTCTTGAGGCTGGATAGTGAGCAAAAATTTCACTTGAAAAGCTTGGGTTCTAGATTATTTTTGCGAATGGCAGACAACACTTTTAATGTCTAAGAGTTCTTTTTTGTTTTTTCCATTAGCAATCATAAAAAATGTAAATTGATATTTGAGGCATAAGCATCACGAGATATTTGAGCAACTTAAAGGATTTGTTGGGGTATTGTCTTAGACATTTGAAGAACATCTACATAATGGTCCTTTATTCAAATCTCAACAATTTCATTTTTCATCTTTTTATTAAAATGATCATGATTATCATCTATTTTCATTTGTTACCATGATGAAACTTTTTGACTATTCTATGTTGAGGCTGTGATTTTCTTTTATTCTTCTAATATATTTGTATATTTATTTTTATCCAGTTCTTTACAATGAAGCCACTTCCATGTGATCCTTCAAGCTTGCCCAAGTATCCTCCCAGCAAGGAGTTTGATGCAAAAGTACGGGATGAAGAAGCTAGAAGGTCCATATCACAACTTCTTTGCTCAC